GGTGATTGCTTATCACCTTTCTTGTATCCTATTTCTATTTGGGTTTCTAGCCGTTAAGGGCAACTTTTTGCCCTTAATATCAATAAAAATAATATTTTTATATAATAATCAAAATGAGATATCTTTTTTTTTTTGAAAAATATCGAACATCTTCCTCCTCTCCCTTCTTTGTTAATGTTTGCCGTTGATAACTCTAAGTCGAGTGACGACCTCTCAGCCAGACCAAGACCTTCAATCCATTGGCCATGTGTGCCATCAAGAGCGGAACAAAAACAGGCTCAAACTCGAACTGCTTCAGCAGCGAATCCATCACGTACTTCACCTGAACAAAAGCCATCTCTTTCCTCGGGCACACCCTGCGTCCGGCTTGAAACACCGGGAACTTGAGGTGCCGCTCGGACCCAAGACACAATGCTCGTTTAATCGGACAATCAACTTCTCTGTCTTTCTTCTCTCTCCAAAAGCGAAAAGTGAAAGCGTGATGTGTTGCCGATGCTGACGCTGTGACGCAGGCACCCAAACTTTGTGAAGTCTTCTTGCCATTCTTGTTCAACTCTGATCGACTGTTTTTAAACCATTTGAATTCTCCTTCGATTTGAACACTTATAGACAGATATATAAATCCTCAAATAACAATCACGATGCTAAGGGTGGAATGACTGACTTTTACCCTTGGATGCAGAAATTGACAGGAACACCACACAACCACGCTAGTCTCTGTTATGTTCACTATATGAAGGAGGGTTGGTTGCAATGATGATGATTGATGAGTAAAGGGGAAATAGTCCCAGCAAACGCTAGTCTCTGTTATGTTCACTTGACTTAGAATTATCAACGGCAAACGTTAACAGAGAAGCCACCAGATGAGGAAGACGAATGCCCCTTATATGATATTTTTGAAAAAAAGATATCTCATTTCGGTTATTATATAAAAATATTATTTTTATTGATATTAAGGGCATAAAGTTGCCCTTAACGGCTAGAAACCCTTTCTATTTTAATTTAATTTTATTTATCTTCAAAAAAATGATGAAAGTGGTTTTTTTTTTTTCATTTCCTCTTTGTATTTTGGCTCCCAAGTAAGGGTAAACTTATACTTTCAACAACATTTTAAACTTTTAGTCTCTGGTGTGAACAGTAACTCGAGACACCTTGTAACATTTCTTCTTCTTCTTCTTCTCTTCTCCCTTCTCCTTTCTCTTCTTCTTCCTTTGGTTTTAGGCTTCACCTTAAACAATTTGTTTACCAAGAGTTTTGGCATTGACCACAGAATGTGATGGCATGGATGTGCCTGCATCACTTCCATTATTTAGAAAATCATTCATTGATATTCTGTAATTCATCTTTATTTTTCCACAACGTTATATACAATTCATAAACCCCCAATTTCAAATCCCAAAGAAGACTATGAGCTTGCCCCAAATCTGCCCTGTTAGTATCTTTGAATTCAGGCTGAATTATGTGCCTGAATTATCAGTAAGCCATCTTATTCTTGTCCTCATCTGCAAATATGTGCCCTTTACTTTCCTTCAAAGTAACCTAGTAAACTGTGAAATAATGATACTCCATATGGTTTTGCCTTTATATATGTGTATATGTATGAAGGTTCAGGTAGGGAGCTCCCCTACACAAACCCACCTATTTCTGTATGTGGAAAGATCCTGTGGCTGATCAAGGCCATCCATCGCATAGGGGACCAATGGATTGGGCACATGTTCAGTCCCACTGTCCATATCATCCATATCCTCCTTCATATATCGGTGTTTTTCAGAACTGGTTTTAGCCATTTAATTTTATTTTATTTTTAAATTACCTATAAAAGTGGTCCTATTTTGCACACCTCCAAGATGTTTTTGGCCAAAATCTTTTCCATGGATACAGGGTGGTGAGATAGGAACACAGATTATTTCGAGCTCCAGACTAATTTGCCATGTTTAAGATTCCTTGGTCACTTTGTGAAGCTCACTAAACAACCTATCTAAGCTTCCATATTACTCTGCTGCTTAGGAGTATAATGTGTTAAACTCTATAACTGTGATTGAACTGTGCTGCTTGTCATGTGTATTGTTCTTTGTTCATGCATCATACATGTTAAGGTAGTTTTCTGGATTGCATAGAAGTGTATAGCAATTCCTATACAGGAAAAAACAGTAAAACTGATCTCCAAACCCACTTAAATGATTAGCTGTTCAGTATTTAACAGACTTGTTTCTTGTCTATTATTTTCTTTTGTTATTAAATTAGTTTGTGGATTTAGATTTGAAGAAGCACTTCTGGCCCCATGTCAATTGTGTTCAACCTGACTTGAATAATAGAACACTTGTCAGGACCTGTACGATGCACAGGCTTTGCTGCAAGAAATTGAGCTAGAAGGAGTCTTATGTCATTCCTTATTGGGTTAAGTTCGACTAAATCCATCACAAACATTATTTTTGTGGTATGCATTGTTTGATAAAGCTGTATTAAATTTCATTAAATTATTATTTTTATAATATTTATTGAGGTTGATTATACCAATGTTTTAAAAATTGACCTGGACCTGGAACCATTTTGGCCACCGGTTTTTGGGTCAGTGGTTCAACCATCCAGTCCGAATGGACGACTTGTTGCAATTAAAAAAATAAAATAATAAAAAATGAAAATAAAAAGGCCAAAAACCGTTGTTCGAGTTGAATGGGTTGATGGTTTGACCACCCAAGTCAGTGGGTCGTTGACCAAGTCAACAGTTTTTTTGGGCAAAGGAATGGTTTAGGGGTGAAATGGAACCGGTTGTCTGGACGGTTTCTAAACTGAATGGTTCAACCATCCAAGTTGGTGATGGTTCAAGTTGTTGAAGATCAAGAAAACCATAAGAAGACATTACAGATCAAAGGTTGTAGCTTGTAAGATGGTTGTGGTTTTGGTTGTTTTTGAGTTTAGATGTATGTTGGTGGGGTTTTCATGTGGTTTTTGTCTTTGTTGGCTTGAGCTTTGAGCTTTGTCTTTGGGCTGTTTTTGGGATCTTTTGCTGTTGTGAGGCTTTTGTTTTGTAGTGATTTTGTGGGCTCTAGTTTCTGCTGGCCTTTCTGAGGCTAGGCTTGCTTGGAGTGCTTGTGTTAAGTCTTGAAGTTCTACTTTTCTCTCTCTTCTTTTTCTCAAGTGACTCCTGGTCACTCCCCTCTGTAATTTCTTTTTTCCTTTTAATATATTTTATTTTATTACAAAAAAATGATGGTTCAAAAACCATGGATTATACAATATTATGTATTGTATAAACAATACATAATATAAAGTATTGTATTTTTTAGATATTATATATAATATATATTATAGGTGTCATATTATAATATATATATATATATATAATATAAAAGATAATATAAAATAATATATCGTACACATTATCTATTGGGGGGTTATTGTTCTCAATCGTCGTTGACCTGAATAGTTGGATTGTTTGACATGGAAATCATCCAGGCAATTGGCTTTGTTTCACCCCTGAACCATTTCTTTGTCAAAAGTTGTTGACTTGGTCAATAATCCATTGGCCCGGGCAGTTAACCCGTTCAATCTGGATAATGGTTTTTGGTTGTTTTTTATTTTAACTATTATTTTTGTTATTTTTATATTTTAGTCTTTTAAATTGCAATAGGTTGTTCGTTCAAACCAAACGGTCGAATCGCTAACCTAGAAATCGGTGACCAAAACGGTTTTGGTTCTAGGTTGGTTTTAAAACATTGGGACAAATACTACCCCATCCTGTCCTTGGTCACCGAAGTTTGGGCTTCGCTGAAACCCACCCAAAACCCAACCGATAGTTAAAACAATTGCCTTGATCAGGGTGGGGTAAGTTGGAGCCCCAGTAGGGGCAGGTTAGATTGCCATCTTTACTTGGGTTTTCAAATGCACTATAGAAAGATACAAATGAAAAGATGAAAGTCTGATTGGTATCCCTATAGGGTTGGGTCGGGTTCGGAAACTATGTCATTATGTCGGGTTTGAGTAGAAGCATTAGAGGGTTGGGTTAGGGTGAAGGCAAACCCATATTAAACCTGACTTGTTGTGTTTATTTTTCATTATTTTAAAATTGAATTTAAATCAATTTTAATAATTTAAGTTATGATATTCTGCTAAGTTTCCTATTGTTTAAAATTTTTAATAATGAGAATTTGTTATTATAAATTAAGTGTGAAGGAAAACCCATATTGAACCCAGTTTGTTGTGTTTATTTTCATTATTTTAAAATTGAATTTAAATCAATTTTAATTTATTAGTAAATTGTTATTGATGTGTAATTTAAGTTATGATATTGTGCTAAGTTTACTACTGTTTAAATTTTTTAATAATGTCAGAATTTGTTATTATGAATTAAGTATAATATTCTTGTAATTAATTTTACAATTATTATTGTTAAAATTGAAAACCAGTAATTTATTTTGATTTTTCTATTCTGTTAATCATTTTTAAATGGAAATTATATGAATAATTTTATGATTTACTAACATTAGTTAACTAACTAATTAATTTTTCAAATTATTATTATTAATAGAGTTTAACATACTGTAAAATCCCTATATGATTCTAGGTTAAAGTAGAGAAGAAGAAGAGAAAGAAGAAGAAGAGGAGAAGGAGGAGGAGAAGAAGGGTTCGGCCAGATTAGGAAAAATCAGTCC